CGGTTTGGAAAACTTGATCTTCCTTGACTGATTTTCCACATAAAGCTCCTTGATGTATAATACAATGAATTGTTGAACAAGTGTCATTGATGGGACATTTATCAAAGCCCCCAATTCTGTCAACTATTTTCTTTACAGCCTCATAGATGTCTTTTCCTTTTGTTGTTCCATAAAGAGGACAAATATCAAATAACTCCTCTTTACTGATAAAATCATCAAAAGTAGTGCGCACAAATATTAACAGCTGACTAACATCGGTTTGATCAGTGCTTTCATCCAAACAAAGTGAGAAATATGAATTTTTCTTAACCAGGCTAAGCATAGATTTTTCTACTTGCTCACCCATAGCAACAATCCTTTGTATGGTTTGATGTGAAAGCGGCACTGATTCAAATTTCTCCGCCATTTTAGAATCACCGAATGCTTTGGCCATTTCAATAGCACATTTTTTTATCAAATTGCCATCAGTGAAAGGTTTTTTCCCCTTTGCCAGCTAAGCGACACGGCATAAGATGTATGCAAAGAATGCGTTTGGGACTGTAATATTTTACTGAATATACCAGTTTGCTGCTTAAGCTTTTTCTTCAAATCTGCAACTAGGGCACGCCGACTTTCATTTATGTACGTAGCATACTTATTTTCATGCACTGTTGTGTAATGTCTTCTCACATTATATTCTTTAGGCACTGAAACGACAATCATGCACACTAAGCACTGCAACTTTCCATTATTGTTAGCAATCAAGTAATCACTCTCCCAACTTTCTTTGTAAATTCTGTTCTCACTATCAATTTATTGTTTTACTGGTTTTACACTCATTATTGTATACGAGGAATCAAGACAAAGAATATATCAAGTTCACTGTTCACTAGCAACATAATAGATTAGCCGACTAGCCTACGTGTCAGTAGCACACTGGCACGATGGCGGCTGGCGACGGATGGTAAGCAGTGGGAGGTGTGGCCTGCGTGAACTGTGATGTGCAGTAACCAGTGCAGTTCTCATAGTGGTGGAGGACGATTGTGTTTGTTACACGTCCGCGAAGCGGCACGCGGTACAGTACTTGTGGTGTAAAAACACTGCTAAACCATAAAATATAAAATAAATTAAAAAGTTTTTTTTCGCAGTGGCAGCATTTAAATAAAATATATGCTTTTCGAAAATCTTACGTGGGTCACAACAAATAGCCTCGCGGGCCGGATGCAGCCCGCGGGCCGCCAGTTAGACAATTCTGCTCTATAGTGTTTTTTTGAAGATCGGACAAATAAGAGCTCTATTCCATTGTTTCGGTATTTCCTCCTTTTGGCAAACTGTTAATGCTAAGCGGAATATTCTTTCTTTTAGTATTTCGCCATTTCCGTAAGAATCCCAGCTAGGATATTACTTTCTCCTATCCATTTATTTTTAGGTCTCTTATTATTTCTTTAACTCCATTCAGAGTTTATGCCTTGCACGTCTTCTCTTCATTTTCTTGCTAATTTCCATTTCTCTCTAGTCTCTCTTTTTGGTCTGCATTTAACAGATCTTCGTATCAGAACTTTTGATAAGTTCCTATTAACAAGTGCTTATAGCCACCTTGTCTAAGGGCTAGCAACTCCAGTGAAGTCCTATGTTGCCATTAAATTAATATTCCGTTTATAACTTAAAAAACGTCTTAGTGTATAATCATCAAAAATGTAATTTAAAATTACTTTAAGAATATTTAAAGGGTTTTTACCGATGTATTTAGGTAATGCTTATTTTAGAAAAGCACTGATGATGGATTTATCATTCCGAAAACATTCTGTTATATAGCTCGATAGGGTTTTTATATTAATATACCTTTTATAAAGGATTTTTTTTAAATAAAAATGTTTCTAGTATAGTTTAGTATAGTCTGTTTAGTTTCGCTGGATTTCTTAACGTCTTGATTAAAATTGTTTACCTCTTTCTTTATGTAGGCTTCTTCTACTTCTTCTATACTTCTTCTATGTTTTCAATTGCTTTTCTAGCGGTTTTTATTTCTTATTTCTTCAAATTCTTTTAACTTCTCTTCTTCTAGCCACATAGTTTTCCTTATTTTTCCTTCTCGTTTTCCTTTTCTTTGCGTGGTTCGTCATCTAAGGTTCCTTGCTGAAAACTCCCTTCTCTTTTACCTTGCTAACCTTGCTAAGGTTACCATGAGGTCCGCATCATAATGGGGGATTTCAATGCAAAACTTGGGGCCGAACGGAAAACGTCTCTAATCGGACCTTTTGGGTTAGGACAACAAAATGAAAGAGGTGACAGACTAGAAATATTCGCAGAAAATAACAAGCTAATGGTTCTGAACACATTTTATAAACTACCACCGAGGAGATTGTATACATGGAAGGCACCAGCAGATAAACCCCATAACGTAATTAGAAACCAGATAGATTAAATCTGTCAAAACATATCCGGGAGTGGACATTGAATCTGACCACATACCTTTAGTGGGAGTCATGGATGTGAGACTGAAGACAATAAAGAAAAAGTCTAGACCTAACTACGACATGACAGCCCTGCAACATCCGGAAGTTAAAAAGCAAGTGGGGGAATATATTAACAACCAAGTTAAACAACTAAAAGAAGAAAATAACATCCAACGAGAAATCAATCAATTCGAAGAAATAATTAAGAAAACTAAACAAGATCTGCTAAAACCAAACAAAGAAACAAAGAAAAAATCTTGGATGACTCCAGAAATCCTTCATTTAATGGAACGCAGAAGGTTAATTAAAGGAAATAAAGATGAGTATAAAAAAATGCAGGCTTACATCAGAAGAAAAATAAGAGAAGCTAAAGAAAAAGAAGCTGTAGAGAAATGTAAAGAAATAGAAAGACTACAAGCCAAGCATGACAATTTTAATGTACACAAAAAGGTAAAAGAAATAACGGGTACTTTTAAAAAGCGAACACAAATGAAACTCATAGACACCAATGGAAAATTAATCATTGACACCCAAGAGATGAAAGACAGATGGAGAATATATTTGGAGACACTTTTTCAAGACCAAAGAACGGATTATAGGCATCCATTTTCAGAGAGGATGACGGGCTCGGACATACTTAAATAATATGGATCACGGCTGTCTTCAATAAAATTTACAAAACAGGAATCATCCCTGATAAATGGCTAGAATCAGAATTCATAGCGATACCTAAAAAACAGGGGTCTAAAAAGTGCGAAGACTATCGAACAATCAGCCTAATGAGCCACATGTTGAAATTGTTTCTTAGAGTCATCCATGGAAGAATTTATAAGAAGTGCGAGGAACAAATATAGGACAGACAGTTCGGCTTCATTAACGCAGTGGGTACCAGAGAGGCACTTTTTGGAGTACAGGTACTGATTCAAAGATGCAGGGACGTTAACTGCGACGTATACGCGTGCTTGATCGACTACGAAAAGTCATTTGACAGAGTTCAACATCAAAAGATGATAAACATTTTAAAAGAGGCAGACCTGGATGACAAAGACCTCAGAATAATTTCAGAACTCTACTGGAATCAGACCGCATACATGAAAATTAACGGAGAAGAAACAGATCACATAAAGATACTACGTGGAGTTAGACAGGGATGTATCCTATCGCCGTTGATATTTAATATGTACTCAGAGAAAATTTTTAACGAAGCTCTTTACGGAATAGACGAAGGCATCCTTCTAAATGGTGAAAGAGTAAACAATGTTAGATATGCCGACGAGACCATGGTGATAGCAGATAGTTTAGAGGGACTTCAGAGGCTAATGGACAGAATAAACGAGTACAGTCAACAGTACGGACTAAACATTAATACCCACAAAACGAAACAAATGATTATCAGCAAGGAGAATATAAATGGGGCTCATATATATATATATATATATATATATATATATATATATATATATATATATATATATATATATATATATATATATTAATGGAACGCAGATAGAGCGAATAAAACAGTATTGTTACCTTGGGAACTATTATTAACGAACAGTGGAGCAATTTACAGGAAATAAAGTGCCGCATAGGAAAGGCAAGAACGGTCTTTAACAAAATGAGCGCCATCTTCAAAAGTCACAACATATCCCTTGATACAAAAATGAGACATTTGAGATGCTATGTTTTTTCTGTGTTGTTGTACGGGGCGGAGGCATGGACGCTTACAGACGCCACTATTAAAAAACTTGAAGCATTTGAGATGTGGCTTTATAGAAGAATGCTGAGAATATCATGGACAGCAAGGATCACGAACAAGGAAGTTCTAGGAAAAATGAAGAAGGAACCAGAGATTGTGTTTACGACCAAACGCATAAAATTGCAATATCTGGGACACGTTATGAGAAATCAGCACCGTTACTCCCTGCTACAGTCTATATTGCAAGGTAAAGTCAAAGGTAAGCGAGGACCCGGTAGAAGGAGAATATCATGGCTGCGGAATTTAAGAACATGGTTTAAGAAAACCTCAACGGAGCTGTTTCGAGCCGCAGCGAGCAAGGTTATGATTGCCAATATGATTTCCAACATCCGAAACGGATAGGAACTAGAAGAAGAAGAAGAAGAACCTTGCTAAAAATTTTTAACGTAAAGCCAATGGTAATTTCTTATTCTCTGCCATCACTATATTTGTTGGGTTGGGATTGATATCATTGCGCTTAAACAAACTCTCAAACGTTTAAAAAATAAACTGAATTACAGTTAAAGTTAAACAAACCACAAACGAAAGCTTTAAAAAATGAAGCTCTTATCTTTTTGTAAATTTCCATAAATAATTAGTAGTAAAAATGACATCCTAGAATATCATTATATTAATATGCCAAGATAAGATTTACGGTGAAAGTATATTTAATGCCCATGTGTGCTTTGGATTTATAATGCTAAAATACAAACCCATAAAAGATGTAAGACGTCTAATATTATCGTATAAATAGTGGTTAGAACCAGGTCTGCTATTAAGGATAAAATTTATTATTTAATAATAGTTTATTATTAAACTGGAGTTAAATGGAATTAAAATGGAGCAACGGCATAAAGTGGTTTATAAAAGTGTGTCTCAGAATGCAGATGGGAAACTTCTATTGAAGAACGAAGATGGTTCACAAAGGAAAAATAGAACCTTTTTGTATCTTTCAGCAATAATAGGTAATATTTTGTAAATATAACTAATAAATTAACAATCAGAATAAGAATGTATTCTATAAGTTAGTGTGATGAGTTTAGGTCCTGTCTCTTGGTTCTGACGTGATGTGGTTCCCTTCAGTGAGAACGTCACGTGTTCATGTTGTTGGTCTGTTTCCCAACGTCGCTAATAACATGATGTTGAGGTATTGTGGAAATTAATGTATTGGAACGTGTGTTCACTTTTTGAATGTATTGTGATTTCTGTTGCTGGATTACTTCTCTTATTGTTGAAATGTTGAGATTATCATAGATTCATTGGTTGGTTACGCACTAGGGGGCATCGACAATTGCTCTTAAGATTTTTGATTGATATCTTTCCATTATAGCAATATTAAATTTACTTCTACAGCTTCACAGCTTTATGCCATATATCAATATTGGTTTCATAACTGTTTTATAAATTAAAATTTTATTACAGAAAGACGGTCTTAGGTTTAATTTCAATGCAGGCCTCTGCCAGTCGCTTATACGTATTTAAACCTCATTAGGTATAATTAAAGCGACATATGCAGACTCTCTGAATCGAATTTAAATATGAGGATAGAATACCGAACGAACTCATAAAGTACGTAGGACCAGATCTGACCAAACAACTATTAAAACTAATTCAAAAAACAATAAAACAAAACAGAGATTCTCAAGAATGGAGATCAAGCATCCTAATACCTCTCTTCAAAAAGAAAGACAAGTCGGACCCAGAAAATTACAGAGGAATTAATTTATTAAATACAACACTAAAATTAACAACCAAAGTGATAATAAATTAATTGAATGAAATTATAACACTAGCAGAAGAAAAACAAGGTAGTAGGTCGGGAAGATCATGCACCGACGTTATATTTATAATGAGGCAAGTGCAAGAGAAATTATTAGAATACAACAAACCGGCATATCTATGTTTAGTGGATCTTACAAAGACATTTGACCGGGTCAAATTAAAAGACGTTCTCCACTTACTGTATGCAAGAGAGATACCTCTAGGAATAATCAAAACGACCAAAAATATCTACCAAAACAACACAATAAAAGTAAAAGTAGAAGAAGAACTAATCGACCCTATTGAAGCTGGCAATGGGATAAGACAGGGAGATTCCCTGAGTCCTCTATTGTTCAATATGATTATCAATGAAATAATAAAAAAGTAAGAATTAAAAAAGAATGCCAAATGGGAGAAAAACAACTTATAATAATTTGCTATGCAGACGACTCAATGTTACTCTCTCAAAGTGAAGATGATTTACAACATATGCTGCACCAATTTAATGTGACCGCCAGAAAATTTAATATGTTATTTTTCCAACAAAGACAAAATGCATGATTACAACAGCAAATTTACTAAGATCTAAATTGGAGCTGGAAGGTCAGATAATAGAACAAGTGATGAGTTCAAATATCTAGACATCACATTATCTAGCTACGGAAAGCTCGAAACCGAAGTGGAAGATCAAATGAATAGAGCTAACAGAGCCACATGCTACCTAAATGAAACAATATGGAGAAATAAAAATATCGCGAAAAAAACGAAAGGCAGAATTTACAAAACAGTCATCAGACCAATAATGACATAAGCGGCAAAAACAAGACCTGACACAGAGATTCTTCTTCTTCAGTGCCTTATCCGGTCCGGAATTGGCGATCATCAAGGCTATCATGGTTTTGTTGACTGCTCTGCGAAACAGCTCCACTGAGGTCATCCCAAACCATTGTCGGAGATTTTTCAACCACGAGATACGACGGCGTCCCGGTCCTCTTCTGCCAAATACTTTACCCTGCATAACGAGTTGAAGAATTCGATATTTTTCTTCGTTTTGCATCACGTGACCGAGGTACTCAAGCTTACGTTGTTTAATTAAATTAAGAACTTCTTTTTCTTTTGTCATGCGCTGTAGGACCTTAACGTTGGTGACATGGTCCACATAAGATATTTTTAGTATCCTGTATATCCACATCTCGAAGGCTTCGATTCGTTTTTCAGTGGCTTGCGTCAGTGTCCAGGCTTCAACTCCATATAGTAACACTGAAAGAACGTAGCACCTCACTATCCGCATCTTGGTTCCCAAACTAAGATCACTGCAGCACAGCAAGGATCTCAACTTAATAAATGTAGACCGTGCCATTTCACTTCTGGATCTAATCTCTTGAGCGTAGTCCCATTGTGAGTTGAGGGTAGTTCCGAGGTAAGTGAATCTGTCGACTCTTTGGATCTCTTCGCTACCTGCGATTAGTGCCTCGGGATCTAAATTTGTACGGCTGACAACCATGAATTTAGTTTTCTTAATATTAAGGTTCAGTCCGTATGTTACGCTCACAGTTCGGTGTGTGATGTGTTCCTTCCAGCACAGGGTTTGGTCTAAATGTTACCCAAGGTATTTGGTTGTTTTAGTCCTAGGTATTTTCTCATTGTTGATATATATATATATATATATATATATATATATATATATATATATATATATATATATATATATCGGTGGTGATGTTTCTTGGTGGTGTATGGGTGGTCGTCAAGGATTGTTCGGTCTAGTAAGGTCACGCAGAGATTACAAAAAGGATATTAGAAACAACAGAGATGAGAACACTGAGAAGAATTTATGGTAAAACACTATGGAACAGAGCTAGAAGTACAGATATACGACATAGATGCAAGGTGGATAACATCAAAAACTGGGTAAGAAATAGAAGAGTAGAATGGAACGATCATATAAGCCGAATGACAAGAAAAAGAGAAGTAAAGACGGCAAGAGACGGTACCCCTATAGGAAGACGATCATTATGAAGACCACAAAAACGATGGAATGACAATTTACTTTGGAGGCACACTGAAAAACAGACAGAGTCATGTCTATATAAAGAGAAGAAGAATAGGAAGAAGCTTCGATGACGTCGTTTTCTATAACGAGTGGTTGTAGGATTTGTGGTTGCGTGCTTATTTTTATATGCTTCGTTTTGTTGGTGTTTATTATTAAACCCATTTTTGTAGCTAATTCTTTTAATGCTACATACGCCTCTCGTACAGCGTTTTCCTTCCCCCAACAATATTGATATCATCAGCATAAACCAGGATTTTCACTGATTTATTATATTGAACCAGTGGTTCTAATTGGTGACATACGTATTACTTTTTCTAGAGCCAGATTGGACAGTATACAGGAAAGAGGGTCTCCCTGGCGAAGCCCATTCTTCTTCTTCTTCATGTGGCTTGTCCGTTCCGAACGTTGGCAATCAACATGGCTATTCTGACTTTGTTTACGGCAGATCTGAATAGTTCAGCAGATGACAATCCGAATCATTGCCGCAAGTTTTGGAGCCACGAGTGTCTTCTCCTCCCTGGACCCCTTCTGCTGTCTATTTTCCCTTGAACGATCAGCTGTAGTACTCTATATTTATTATGTCTCATAACGTGACCCAAGTATTCCAACTTTCTTTTCTTTATACTTATTCCTACCTCTCTCTCTTTACTTATCCGGCGTAGTACCTCTTCGTTGGTCACGTGCTCAGTCCAGGATATACGTAATATACGTCGGTAAGCCCACATTTCGAAGGCCTCTACTTTTTTCATCAATGTTGCGGTCATTGTCCACGCCTCCATTCCATATAACAAAACCGGTAATACATAAAATTTTAGAAGTCGAATTTTGAGAGGTAGGGTGAGGCTTTTAGAGGTGAAAATTTGCTTCATGCTAGTGAACTGAATGCTTTTAGAGGTGAAAATTTACTTCATGCTAGTGAATGGAGAACTTCAATTATCATTTCGTGCTTTACGTTATCGAATGCTCTTGCGTAGTCTATAAAACATATGTACACGTCTTTGTTCATATCTCTGCAGCGCTGGATGAGTACCTGTAGACTAAAAAGTGGTTCTCTTGTCCCAAGAGAATTCCGAAACCCAAACTGCGAATCTCCAATGTTATTCTCGCATTTTTTGCTTATTCTGTTGTAAATAACCTTGGTGTATGCCTTCGAAATGTGGTTAATTAGACTTATCATCCGATGTTGATCACAAGACTTTGCTTTTGGTTTTTTCGGTATAGCAACAAAAGTTGGCTCTTGCCAGTCTTCAGGAAACTCCCCGCTGTTACAAATATTGTTAAAGAGTCTGACGAGTGAGGCTAGAAATTGACTGTTTGTTTCGCACAGCATTTTCAATACTTCCCTGTATACGTTATCGTTGCCTGGTCTTTTGTTATTTTTAAGACCCTTTATAGCATTCTCCACTTCTGATTTTAGAATAGAAGGGCCAGTATCATCATTTCTCAGTGTACACCCACTAGGACGGTCATCATTAAACAGTTGTTCCACATAAGTTTCCCAGATTCTAACTATTTTGTCGGGGTCTAGTTGTAGATTTCCATTATCATCGCACAGCCCTTTCGATAAAATATTGTAGCTTTTGTTTGTTGTGAGTTCCTTTATCTTCTTATGCATATTGTGATAGTCGTATACCTTTTCGCACTGTTCGATTTCTTCGCATCTCTCCGAGAACCATTTCTCTTTAGTTTTTCTTATCTCAGCTCTTATTCGTCTATGGGTTTCACGGTATTTGGCAGTATCTTTAGTTTTATATATCCGTCTCTCTTCCATCATGTCAAGGATTTCTGCAGTCATCCAGTCTTTTTTTTCTCTTATTAGGTAGTAAAAACTTAGTGCTTGAAGTCCTAATCTCTTCTTTAATTTCACTCCACTTTTCCAGCGGTTCATTGTTATTTTTAAGGATTTTTGATATTTCGGTATTTAAATTCTCCTGCATCTGTTGGATATTATTGGACATATTATTGTTGGAAAGCTTTCTAATATCTAGCGTTTCGGGCCTGTTCTTTACATTTGGCTTTTTTAACTTTACTTCAAACTTACATACCACCGGATTGTGGTCTGAAGCCCATTATTTGTTTTAAAAGGTTCAGACAGTTCTCCCTGAATTCGTACTTTACATTAAACTTGTTCAAGAGTTAGTTTTGTTAAGTTTACCAACTGATTTGGGTATTCCTAGCTCTTTAATTGCCTTGAACATTTCTCTTCTATTCACAGAGTCGTAGGCTGCTTGGTAGTCTATAAATATGTGATGAGTATCAATGCCATATTCCAGTGTTTTTTCCAAAATTTGTTTCAGGGTTGCAATCTGATGAATTGTAGATATCTCATCTCTGAAACCAGCCTGGTATTTTCCTATTTATCTGTTCTGCATATGGTGCCATAAGGTGACATAGTACTGTGGAAAATATTTTATACGCTGCATTTTGAAGCGTAATTCCTCTGTGGTTAGAGCATTTAAAGATTTTTCCTTTTTTATGTAGGTATGATGCAAAGTATTCCAATATTCCAATCATTGGGGAGGGATTTCTGTGTTTTTTATAAGCTGTTGAAACGTCATAATGGTATCATAGCCACTTTCGATTATAGTTCAGCTAGGAGATTATCTATTCCGGGTGATTTGTTTCTGGCTAGTTTTTAACTGCATTTTTAAAGCCATCTAATAACATTAGAAATCCTAAGATTGGAATTTAATTTCATCAAGTATGAAATCTTAAGATTTCTAATGTTGTTAAAAGTTTATTAATTATTGACAGCTTGAGTTTTTTCCAATTAACCAATTGATTTATTTTTGTCTTAGTTGTATCTCTTTTCTTTTCTTGCTGATACGTTCCTTCCAGCACAGGTTTTGGTCCAGATGTAACCCAAGGTATTTGGTTGTTTTAGTCCTGGGTATTTTCTCATTGTTGATATATATATATATATATATATATATATATATATATATATATATATATATATATATATATATATATATATATATATATATATATATCGGTGGTGGCGTTTCTTGGTGGTGTATGGGTGGTCGTCAATGATTGTTGCAGTCAGTTTTCAAGCTCATACAATTAGTCTTGGAGTTGTTGTGTAACTACGTTGATGTGTTAATGACAATCTTCAAATATGCTAATTGTTACGTTATTTGAAATTGGTAGATCAGACGTGTATAATAAATATAATAAAGGTCTGAAAAGGCTGCCTTGCAGAATTCCTGCTTAATGGGATGCAATTTGGATATATCTTCATTTATTTTTGTTTTAAGCTATCGGTTTTCCAAGTATGTATTCGAAAGAATGGTAGTATAATTTGATGAATTTTATAAAGAAGTCGTTTATGTTAAAACTTACATCTAGTGATATCATTGGACAATATTCCTTAGTCTAATAATGCGGAATTAATTTAATGGGTTATTTGGTGGCAATGCTGGATAGTTAAGTGTTCTCGTCGAAGTCATAACTGATAATTTAATATCCAGTCTGTGCCAGTAAAGTCTGGATCCTTTCCTGGTTTTTGGAATAGAAGTATTTCTGAAATTTTTGGATTGTTGGGAAAATACTTACAGACCATGGTGACTTTTTGATATGATAAAGATTTCTTCTTTAAATTCATTTAGGTTTTTGTTAGTTTTGTTAGTTGGTTTTACTAATGGTTGTTATGAACTTAAATAATTAATAACTTCTAGATCTTCTTCATTGTTGTGTGGTTGGAATACTGTTGCTAAATGTTAAGGCAATAATTCTGATTTTTTATCGCTTCTTCAACGCTTATTGAAGAAAATAGCTTCAGAACAACACAAACATTTTATTTAAAAAATCCTTTGTAAAAGATGTAATAATATAAAAAACCGTTTCCGGCCACATTAAAGAACGTTTACGGAACGAATATTCCTTCATCGGTGCTTTAGCCTAAAAGAAGTATAACTACTTTAATTAAATCAAACGTGAAAGTTAAATTTTGACTAGGGTTGTAGCAAAAATGTGGTTTAATACTTCAGTAAAAAAGCTAAAATTCAGAAAAGTAGAAGGAGAAGATGGAATAACAGCTGAAACACTCAAAAAAATGGGAGAATTTGGGACGGAAGTAATGCTTAGAATTTGCAATGAGATCTGGAATACCGGAAAGTGGCCAAATAACTGGGGTAAACTCACGACTTCTTGACTGTACCTTGTCCTATTTTGGCATTGAAATCTCCCATGATAATTATTAGTTCATGCTTTTTGGTCAGTTTTAGAAAGTCTTCTAAAGTCTGATAGAAATTTTCTATTTCGTCTTCAGTGGATTCTGATATCGATGCGTAGACCTGAATAATGTTTATATTAGAGGGACTAGAGTTAATTTTCAATAGCATAACTCTGTCTGATAAGGGCGTAGATCCTAGTACTGCTTTAGCTATTTCCCTTTTTACCATTATCGCTCTTTACGCCATTTCTGTTTCTTGTTGTGCCTTGGTTTTCATTTATAATTCTTATTCCAGAATTTGGACATCGAACTTTACTGGATCCTAAAATATCTATGTTCAGGCGAGTCATTTCTTGAATAGTATTTGCTGCTTTGCTTGCTTGGTAAATGCTTCGAATGTTCCACGTACCGATTCTTTTATCTTTTGGGAGATTATTGGCTGAACGGGGGGATTCTTAGCACCCTCTTCTCACTTAAGGGGTGCCCAGGACTGAGGGCAGTTTGTTTTGGATTTTCAGCCATTGTGGTATTTTGGGGATATCCTTACGGATCTGTAATGTAGTAGTCATCCCGTGACTTTCCACATCTCAAAGCCTTTGGCTAATTTAGCTCTTCCACCTTTGGAGTCCATTTTTCAGCTCCAGGGCAGTGAAGTGCCCTACCACATGTCAGTTCTTCCACCCGTAGCTGTTGACCAACAAATGGGGGATTACTTTTACCGGTAACCGTTCGGTCACTTCGCAGTATCACAACCGGTTAAATAATAATTACCGCCTTTGATTATTCAGTATCAGACACGTAAGGAGATTTTTCTCTACCGCTTCGATCCTGTAATGACATAGCTGCTGCCCTATACCATGCTCGCAGTTGATTCGCGGGTGTTTATTTGGTAAAGCCTTATTCACACCTGACCCATATATCTGTAGGGTGTTCCCTATCAGGAATTCTGTATTAAGATTGAGAACTACCCCCCTCCGAGTGTGTTTTCCAAAAAGTACTGAAGCGCCCCTACTCAATTCAGAAACCTTCCTTCTTGGAAACTACACCGGCACGGTGTACACACAAGTTTAGATACTGACTCTTAAGTTTTAAGGCAACTAGATAAACATGGCATATAGCGATATGCCGTACAACATTGACATAATTATAATTGATGCCGTTTGGCGTAAGAACCTTTTTGATTGACATTTAAAACAACGATTCTCATTTCGCCCTGCTTTCCTATTCTGTTCTGAGTTCCCAAGAGCATAAAATATATTTTCTAATGACCCACATTGTAATAATCTGAAGAACAGTAGTTAAATACGATATGTACTGTTAATAACAGTATTTGTAATTTACATTTTTTTTTTTCAGCTAATTTATTTATGTTCAGCGTATCGAGTCTATTCAGCTGGTCTTCATCGGCAATAGAAAAATTAACCGCAAATAGTTCAGATATCAATCCATTGGGAGAACCAATAACAGCAGTACAAGAATCATGGATAGCCTCCCTACTTTCACTAGGAGCAGCAATTGGTCCTCTTCTATCTGGAAAGCTCTCCGATACAATAGGAAGAAAGAAGACTCTAGTAATAATGGCAATTCCCAACGTCATTTGTCTGTTAATAATATGTTATGCAAGAAACATAACTATTTTTTATATATGTAGGTTTATCAATGGTTTAGTTACAGGAATGGCATTCGCTATTACACCAGTGTATCTTTCAGAAATCGCGGAAGTTCACAACAGAGGAGCGATCTCAACTTTGATGGGGATCTTCATGAACTCAGGAGTCTTGTTTAGTTTTTTGTTAGGACCTCTTTGTTCTCTTAAGCTTCTGACGTTTTTGTGTGCCGTACCTTCGTTTTTGTTTATTATTGTATTTGGAATATTCATTCCAGAAAGTCCAATATTCCTAGTATCGGTGCATAAGGAAGACGAGGCAAAGGAAGCTCTAAAAAAATTGAGAATGACAAAGGACGTTAATGATGAGTTTAAAGCCATATTAGCTTCATTTGAAGCTTCAAATCAAAACGAACAAGGAGCTTTAGAGGTATTTAAAGATGCTGGATCTAGAAAAGCTCTGATTATAATCATAGGATTAATGTTTACTAGCCAATGTTCTGGAGTTAATTCAGTTATAAGTTATCTTGATACTATTTTTAAAGCGTCTGGTTCTACTCTACCACTCTACTTTTTAACAAATGCAGTTGGAGTTATACAAGTTGCCGGAAATTGTATTTCGGTATCAGTAATAGAGAAATTAGGAAGAAAAATTCTAATTTTGACATCGGCCGTAGGTGTTTTAATTACCGAGATTACTCTTGCAGTTTACTTTTACCTCAAAGATGTTCAACATTACAATCTGGATGCGATATCCTGGTTACCGGTCGCTAGCACATTTGGCTTCATCTTTGCTATAAGCTTAGGAGTATCCCCACTACCGTTTACAGTTATGGGAGAGATCTTCCCTCATAGTACTAAAGCTTCCGGATCAGCTCTCGGTTGCTGTTCTTGTTTCGTTTTGTCTTTTGCCGTCACCTTTACTTTTAGGGTATTCATGAACTTGTATGGCATAGCTTTTTGTTTCTCTTTGACCACTTGTTTTGTGTTTTGTGGTATGCTTTTTATTTACTTTTTTCTCCCTGAAACGAAAGGGAAAACTGAAAGTGAAATTCAAAAAATGTTAATAAAGTAAATATTAAAGTGAAAATATTTGCAAACTGATGTACACATTTATCCCAATACATATCTTATGATTTTGAACACAAAAACAGAAATACTTTGTTTTGACTTTAAAACAAATCATTCTTTAGCTGACTGATACAGCTGCAGAGTTAAATTATTTGTATTATTTAGAAATACATTTATTTGCACTTACTATAAAATATGGATCCAGCAATTACACATTTTAATATCTTATTTATACTGCAATACATTGGGTATAAAACAAAATTTGGCAGTTTTTCGCCAAAAATTAGGCTTGGTCTCAAAAACCACAAGGCCGGTTTTTTCTTGCCGAAAAGGTGGCAAACCTTGACCGTAGACACATATATTAACATATAATATTAACATTACCATGTTAATATATACGTCTGTGCCCTAGACCTATTCAGGCTAATTACCAGGTGTCATCGGTGTATGCAGCGATTCATAATCATTTATATCCAATATAATCGGTGCTGTTAGTTTTATAATGGCTAATGTAAGAATCAAATAAATAAACGTTAAATAACCGGGTTTTACGAAAACCTACTGCTTTTTATTATTTATTTTGTACTGTAAGGTTTTAAGATCAATTTCATTATGCTAGGTTATTACTGATTTATAAGTTTAGGTATACGTAGATACTATATTTAATTTCTAAGACTCGCATTTGTATAATTTGTGATAAAATTTGTTTGAATTAAATAATACTTTTATAACTTTTGTTTACTTTTGGAAGCAAAGCTTTCTTATTACGGGATACGGACGGAGCGGTGTAACGCGCAGAGATACGATAAAAATAAAAGACCGACTGAAAAGAATGTAATGATATATCGCACGAACTACAGATACAAATAAATAAAGAAAAATCCAAAATGATGGCATCAACACCGAACAACAGATTCAGAAATATCGGTCCCCAATTCACTGTTGATAACTCTACCTTTAAAGTGGCGGACAAATTCACATAAGTAGGCTGCCTGATAACCAATGACAACTACATATTAAAAGAAATCAAACGGAAAATAATTCTGAGAAATAAGTGCGTCTTAGGCAGCGTACAAACATGAAAAGTAGAAACTTTAGCTACAAAACTAAAATAACAATATACAAAACACTTATATTACCAGTGCTGGCATTGTGATCGAAAACAGGAACCATCTTCAAGACAGATGAAAACCTCTTGTTCATATTTGAAAGAAGACTGCTGAGTGATATATTCATACAAACAGACAACACCAACATCATTCTACAACTATGAGGTATACCACAAATACAAACAGACATCTGGTTGTAAAGAGGTGATATCTCTCTTGCTCCTGCTCTTCATGCTCCCACCTCTTTAATTATTAATCTCAGCACAGGCAGTTTCTAATTATATTTGTAACTTTCGAACGAGATAAGTTATGTCAATGGCCGAGCAGAAAATATTAAATGTAGTGAAAAATGAGCAAGAAAATACAGAAAAATTAACTCTTATCTTTTCGCATATTACCATACGATTAGTACTAAAAATGACTTCGTAGAATATCATTATATTAACATGGAAAGATAAGATACCTGTAACTGTATTCAATCAAAGCCCAAAATAATGTTGACATAGAAGCCCATAAAATACAAAAGACGTCTAAAAATATCGTATAAATTGTAGTTTAGGTCGGCTATGAAGAACAAAAAATAATAATTGCAAATAAAATGGGAGAACGATCTGAAGCGGTTTATAAAAGTGTCGGTGAAAATGTAGATGGTGAACTTCTTTTAAGAAAAGACGTTGGTTCACAAAAAAATAGAACTTTTCTGTATCTTTCCGCAGTCATAGGTACTTACTTACTTACTCCGTGGCGTTACAACTCTTCGTGGGTTTTAGCCGACTCGACAACATGCCTCCACTGTTTTCTGTCTTGAGCAACCTCCATTCAATTCTCCACGCCCATAGTGCTTAGATCTCCTGCTATATTATCTCGCCACCGGAGACGAGGGCGTCCGCGTGGTCTCCTTCCAGTTGGGACTTCCTCCCACACCAGTCTTACTGTTCGTTCGTCAGAATGTCTTCTGAGGTGTCCTGCCCATTGGAGTTTTCTGGACTTTATTTCTTTTATGATGTTGGCGTCTGGGTAAAGTTCTTCAAGCTCTTTATTAGTTCTTATCCTATATTGTCCTGATGCTTCATCAAGCACCGGACCAAAGATCTTCCTTAGGATTTTTTTTTCCCAAACACGTAGTCTCTCTTCATTTGCCTTTGTTATCGTCCACGTTTCGCTTCCATACATCACAACGGGTCGTATGATTGTTTTATAGACCTGTATCTTCGTACGTCGTGTTAGTTGTTTTGATTTTATAAGGTTTTGGAGGGCAAAAATACATCTGTTGCCGGCCTGAATCCTGTTGTTTATTTCTTGTGATCCGTTATTGTCTTCAGTTATTGTTGTTCTCAAGATACTTGAATTCTCTAACGCGCTGAAAGTTAAAGTCATCGATGGTAATGTTCTGACCGATTCTGTCTCTGCTTTGGTTATTGCGGCTCATATACATATATTTCGTCTTGTTATCTTGGTCATAGGAAATATATATATATATATATATATATATATATATATATATATATATATATATATTTATTTATTTATTTATTTTTTATTATTACCAAATTAAATTACTTTCACGACGAGCTTGCACTATCTATATATCGAAAACTGCATACTCAACACGATATTTATTAAAATTGGATAAATTGGATGATAAAATATAAAATCCTTAATTTCATTGCTCACTTTTCAAATATTTAAGCTAGATGTGCTCGAAAACGACAAAATTAGCTGTAATAAAAGGTTGTAAAGTAATAAAAGTAAAAGCATCGGTAAGCTTTAAAAGAATCACCAGATGTATTTAGATTATATTGCAATTTCAATAATTTGTTGTATTATCATAATCCAATACCACCGTTTTATTTTGCTATGTATTCAGTAATATTTTCAACGCCTTCGGTGTTGGATATCTTTTGGTTTTACTATGAGCCATTGCACATGTTTTGATAAATACTTCAATTTTAAATTATTTTTAAAATGAGTGATGCATTTTGCCAACCTTCGACTTCTAAACGAGGTAGGTGAGAAACTTCTCAGATGATGAATTATTACACATATTAGAAGATTCACATGACGACAGTCACGCAAGTGATGAAGATTTACATTATGATGAAGATGATCGGCCAGACGATCCTAATTTACAAGAAAAATCTGAAGATGATGATGGTGGTGATGAGTCTCAAAATATTATTGAATAGTCTTCAGAGGTTCAACCACGAACATAAAATATATCTTTACATGATCCAAACTGTAAGCTAATCTAAAAAACAGTACCTACGATATATGTATATTAATAGTAATTGTAATTTATAAATGTTTTTTTAGCTAATTTATTTATATTCAGCGTATCGAGTTTATCCAGTTGGTCTTCATCGGCAATACAAAAATTAACTGCAAATAGTTCAAATATCAATCCATTGGGAGAACCAATAACAGCAGTACAACAATCATGGATAGCCTCTTTACTGCTACTAGGAGCAGCGATTGGTCCACTTCTATCTGGAAAGTTCTCGGATACAATAGGAAGAAAGAAGACGTTACTAATAATAGCAGTTCCCAACGTCATTTGTCTCTTTATAGTATGTTATGCAAGAAAAATAACCATTTTTATATATGTAGATTTATTAATGGTCTAGTTACAGGAATGGTATTATTCGCTATTATACCAATGTATCTTTCAGAAATCGCTAAAGTGTGCAACAGAGGAGCGATCTCGACCTTAATGGACATCTTCATGAACCTTGGGGTCGTGTTTAGTTTTTTGTTAGGACCTCTCTGTTCTCTTAAGCTTCTAACGTTTTTGTGTGCCTTACCATTAGTTTTTTTCATCATTGTATTTGGTATATTCATCCCAGAAAGTCCAATATTCCTAGTATCGGTGCATAAGGAAGAAGCAAAAGAAGCTCTAAAAAAATTGAGAATGACAAAGGACGTTAATGATGAGTTTAAAGCGTTACTAACTTCATTTGAAGCTTTAAATAAAAACGAAAAAGAAGCTTTAGAGTTATTTAAAGATACTGGATCCAGAAAAGCTCCAGATCCAGAAAAGAGTTGTCGATATACGTGCATTGAAGTATTTACCTAATCAAACAATTCAATTCAAATTGAATTTTTCTGATGAATGGGAAAATCTACCCCAAAGAAAAGACAGATTAATTAATCGAACGACACTTCACAATCTTCCAAGTCGTTACACCAAAAGACTATCAATTAAATTTAAAAAGTATCTTGATTTCCATTTTGGAACCAGATGTTCATCCCTTTTATGCTGCAATTCCTCACGATTAAACAAATAGTATTTGAACCAAATGATTTCAAACCAAAAATACGACTGCTAATATAAATAAAATTTTACAAAGTTTATATTGTATCCTATAAAATTTACCAGTTTGGAGTTACAAGTACTGCTAATTAAGGTAGCGATATAATATGTATTTACCACTGAAATAAATTTTGCACTTTCTTCAAAAATTTATAAATATGTAATATATGTAAAAATGTGTAATTTACACATAATCTGCGGCATAATGATAACGGTATCCAAGGTAAAATAAACAAATAATATGCAAGTGAAAAATAAAACAATTTATATAGGGTGGCTGCAAACGATACAAATAAATTATATTTGTCATCATTATTTTCTAGCTAATCATTATACCCTTATTGTAGTCATCATTATTATTTACTTTACTTTATAGTATACGGATATGTCATTCATAAAATTTCGGCTCAGTATTGGCTCCATCTTTGTTGACGAACTACAAATCTTCGAAGGTTCAACAATGGGGACAGTTTCTGTATGTAAAAAGATGTTCCATATTTTGTATTTCTCCAGTCACTGATCTGTTGGCCGAAGGAAGAATTCTTAGTTGAAGAATCTACATGATTCGTATCAATGTAGATCGATTGATTTGTTCAGAGCAGCAAGTTGTATCAATACTTTTCCTGGAAGGGATATTGGGGTTGACAAGAGAAATCAAGAATTCCAGGATAGAGTATGCAAGCATATCATCATATATTGCAAATGGCTGGCTTTCGGACGTGGGTATATAAATTTAGTATGGGGTATATTAATTGAGAAATAAACTAAATTGCTATACGGATAGAATCCTATCTCATTAAAGGAGATACAAACGACTTTTTATGAAGGTAAAGTTCCCCTGCATGTTTTGTTTGTGAATTTTAGACAAGCATATGATAGAGTCGATAGAGTCAAAACGTATCGAGCAATAAAATATTTGGGTATACCAAAGAAACTAATCCGGCTGGTTAAAATAACACTAACTAACGTGTGACATTGCTTGGCAGTGTCACATATCAGATCAATTTATGGTTGCGTATGATTTGAGACATGGAGATCCTTTATCCACTACATTATTCAACTTAGTGTTAGAAACTGTAATCAGAAAATGCAGCATCAAGGTGGAAGAACCGATCATGAGAAATGAGCACCAGTGCTTGGCATTTGCTGACGATCTATCGATCCTAGCAAAACCGAGAAAAAATTAAGAAAAGTTGTGAAGAAAATTATTGAAGAAGCACATAAATTCGGATTGGAAATAAATGAGGACAAAACCAAATATATGATGATGGGAGGGAAAGAAGGGGAAAAAAGAAGTCTTTAGTGTGAGGTCTGTAAGTGGTAAAAGCTATAGTTTTAAAAGAGTGGACAAATTTGATTACCTGGGTGTAGTTTTCGATGAAAATGGAAAAGAGAAGTGGGAGCTCAAAGCCAAAATAGCAAAAGGGAATAAAATATTAGGTAGTTTAAGAGCCATACTGAACTCAAAATACGTTTATAGACAAGGTAAACTTGAAATATATAAAACAGTAAATGGGAAAGAAAAATATTGAGACGTATATTCGGAGAACGGAAGACAGAAGATGGTTGAGAGAGAAATACCAACAATGAATTAATGACTTTATACAAAGAACCTACCATTACCAAGTTTGTCAAGTCACAAAGCATCAGATGGTTGGGACATGTGGAAAGAATGGCTGCAAACAGAAGGCCTAAACTAGTAATAACGAACAGAATGAGGTGGATTTGCAAAGTTGAGGAAGACCTTAAACACGTGAGGGTGAGGGACTGGAAAAGAAAAGCACAAAATAGAAACGAATGGAGAAATATTGTCCACCAGGTCCTTCAGAGTGGTTAAGAATGTTGTATATACATATTTAAGTTAAAGTTTTGTTTAAAATAATTGTAATTAGTTAATTTTAGGATTATGTGTTAAAAAAATGCCCTAGGCCTTAACGGCTTGTTGTGCGTAAAAAAATGGGGTATATTTGGATAAAGATAAATTTATTGAAATATTCCAAAAGAAAATGGATAAAATTTGGTATAAAAAGACAGATAAAAATGAAGGGCGCCACCTTATTTTTTTAAAGGACAAGGAAACTCGACACTTGACATATGACAAGATTGGTTTAAAAAATATTTTAAAAAACGATAAATAAATTTGACCTCTCTTTAAAACCAATATACCTAGTCAAAGAAAAGCCAACACACTTACCTTATATGATCTCTCAAAAATCTCTCTGAAATAAATTTGACCTCTCTTTAAAACCAATATATCTAGTCAAAGCAAAACAAACACACTTACCTTATATGATCTCTCTAGATTGTTATTAGAATTATCTTCTTATTTCCCAAAAGAAAAGAGGATTATGAGAGAGTAATAAATAAATAATTGTAAATATTAACAAAATAGACATAATCCAAACATGCAAATAGCAAAATCAAAAATGTAAATCAAAACAAATTAGGTTTTAAACAAATATTTCCAGAATTATTTGGAATACCTTTGTGTCAGGGTAAAATATGAACTTCGTTTTAAATAAAATGATACTCTAATTAAATAGTGAAAATAAACAAAAATAAGACATTACCTTAGTTATTAGCATATTATGGTATGTAGGTATAACAACTTATTATCTAGTAAAATATGCCTAGAAATATAGCCGAATAAAAAGTATAGTAATTATCACTTGATTACTAGAGTACTGATTAATTACTATTTAACTGGGAATAAGCCACAATTAAAGATAAAATACGTTTATTGACGTTTCAATTTCCACTTCGGAAATCGTTCTCAAAATACAAACAGTAAATTAAACAAATTTTGTTTTTTGTTACATAGTGAAAAATTCTTCTAATAATTTAATTATATCTGACTGATAAAGACTATCTGACAATTCAGACATACATAATGCATTTTAAAGTAGACTTCTGCCGAGGAATTTGCGACACAATTGACCTCATTTAGCATAATTAAAGCCGCTTCTTTGATTTTTCTTTTTTTACCATCCGTCTCTTTTAGGACTACATTTGAATTATTCCATTGAACCCTATGTTCATTATCCCATGCGTGTTTACATATTTGAGATCTATCAAATTCTCTATTTTTAATATAAGACTGATGTTCACTTATTCTAACATTTAATGGCTTTGATGTTTCACCTAAATAAAACTGATCGCATTCACAAGGTATTTTATAAATGCAATTCTTTGTCCTTTCTTGTTCATCATTTCATCAAATCACAATATTAATGTAAAAAAGGGAATAATTAAATCCTTATAAGATAGAGCCAAAATTACTTGTTCTAACGAAAATTCGTTCTTGGAGGAGAAACATTTGTTAACATCTGTTTTATTAAAAAATGATTATCCTTTATCGTTTATAAATAAGGAATTTTCAACAATCGATCGAAGAACAGAACATTTTAGAACGAGATCCTACAGGATACACAAGGAATAATACGAGGAAAATAACAATACGGTACATAAAAGGATTATCAGAAAAACTTAAAAGGATAGACAATAAATTCAACATTTCAACAACATTCAAAACAACAAACACGTTGAGATCTATTTTGTCCAAAACCAAACCTACCAATGAACAAGAAAAGACAAATAATTGCATTTATAAAATACCTTGTGAATGCGATCAGTTTTATTTAGGTGAAACATCAAGGCCATTAAATGTTAGAATAAGTGAACATCAGTCTTATATTAAAAATAGAGAATTTGATAGATCTCAAATATGTAAACACGCCTGGGATAATGAACATAGGGTTCAATGGAATAATTCAAATGTAGTCCTAAAAGAGACGGATGGTAAAAAAAGAAAAATCAAAGAAGCGGCTTTAATTATGCTAAATGAGGTCAATTGTGTCGCAAATTCCTCGGCAGAATGTAGTAGGATCTGGTTACCAATATTGAAAGAGGAAGTTATTAATAAGAAAATACCAGTATTAGTAAGTCAGTAACATATACAGGATACATTATTTATGTTTTTTAAATAACGAAACACATAAAATCAGAATTTTGGTGTTTATTTAAGGTAAACTAAATGCACGAACAAATACTTACCATGTCGGTATAATATTATGAGGTTTTTTTCCTGGTTTTTTCCTCATAATATACTATGGAATCACTAACAGGAGAATTTTACTGTCATCATGTCATGTGTTTGTCTTTTTAAAGACGAATTATATGCTATGATTTTTTCTGACGGATATTCTCAAGTTAAAGTTGATTTCATGTAATCGAATGAACTATCTTATAAGTAAAGTCGTCCCAGGAGCGCAACTCAACAATATTGGCAATATCATTTTAAAGTCGTCTACTTTAAATGCATTATGTATGTCTGAATTGTCAATATAAATGAGTCAGATAAAATTAAATTATTAGAAGAATTTTTCACTATGTAACAAAAAACAAAATTTGTTTAATTTACTGTTTGTATTTTGAGAACGATTTCCGAAGTGGAAATTGAAACGTCAATAAACGTATTTTTATCTTTAATTGTGGCTTATTCCCAGTTAAATAGTAATTAATTTAAAATGCCACAAGAAAATAGCTTCAGAACAATATATAGAGTACTGATCATATCAAAAATAAAAATATTTAATCAAATTGTACAAAATAATTTTTAACACTTCCACTGACCACTGAAGTTTTTTATTCTATAAGGGCGACAGCTTTAACATCTACCTCTGTAATTTATTTTAACATAGAATTATGTAAAATTTCAGCATACCTTTAGTAACTTACTTCATACAAAAATGGAATAATAAATG